ATGCGAACCTTCATTGTGAAGTTTATTTAATCAGACATGGTACATAGGGACAATCTCTCCCGGGCCCATGCCAAGAAAATTCCAAGAAAAGAGCGTTCCATGCATGGATTTGTGGATGGATGGATAGGGATAGCCCATCAGAACCCCCTTTGCCAGAGAGCTGTGAAGGACACGAAATCTTGTGGCGGCAATAGGCATTTTCCCAACAACCGCTAGCTCACATGGACAAATAATGGAGGCATTTAGATGCTCCATGTATATACAGTATTCGAAGTTGAAATGATTAGCATTTACTAAGACTGCATTTTTTTCAGTACTGAACTTGATATAACTTTTCCTGTATCTGAAGCTCGACGTAATCTGCTCGACCAACGGTGCAGAAGCATGGGTTCACAAGCTCAAGTAAGTGTTTGTGTTTTATTCCCTCCCATTCTCTGGCAGGTTTTCAACGATATATCTGAATTACTCATTTCAGATGGGATGGTCTGAAGAGCTTTCTGAGCCTACCAAGGCAGCCTCTGTATTGTGGCGCTAGCAAAGGCACCAAGGCCTTCGTCAGGTCCTACAAGAACCTGCATTTCTACTGGATTCTTGGAGCTGGGCATTATGTAAGTCCGAAGTCTGAAGCCTGAACCCCAATCGTGCCATCTTATTGGTTTTCTTAAACCTGGATAAACCCAAATCTTATCTGTTTTCTCGCGGGATCTTCTCTCTGATTGCAGGTGCCTGCAGACCAGCCCTGTATCGCGCTAAGCATGATCAGCAGCATAACCCAGTCGCCTGCAAGCTAGTTGATTCTATGTGATTTATGCCAAGAACAAAGGTGGGCTTCAAGCAGCACGCACAAGGTCCCGGAGGACCATTCAGCGTTCTTGAAGTGCGGTATAGGTTGCAGGTTGGATACCTGAAAGGCAATGCAGTTGACGATGCCATTTTTTATATAGGAAAAAATCCGTTAAAAACGGAGCACTGATTTGATATGAAAGTGGCTGTATCATCTACATATTACAAAATATTGTACAGAGGCTGGAACTTTTTTTTAATAATGGAAAGATATCTGGCTTCATATAGAGGAATCATACCACATTATTGTATAAATCATACCATAACGTCTGGAATGAGTTTACATAGCAAAATCCGATTTTGGGCCCAAGATCAAAGCCAATGCATTCCCCTGAAAATGACCTGCAAAAGAGTTTTTGGTCAAACATTTGTCAATACAACTTTGTTTCTTATTAGCCAGATAAATCAACAGACCACAGACGCTCATGTCAATAAAAAGGATCTCAAATATTTACCTCTTGTAGGGTACCAATCATTCAAATAGTTTTGGATATAAGTGGTGGACTGAGACCTAACACCATATAAACCGCTCTCCACTGTAACCTAAGCATAAGTGCATTTAAAGAAAAGATGTTGGATTGTCTCCGGCTTACTACAAAAGCATCAAGTCGTGTCACCATTCTAATTTCTCTATGATAAATTATCTGTTGTGAGAATGACTCCTTTTTAAAAGAACCACATGAAGAATGTATCTTTAGACGCCAAACTTTTTATGAAACTTTAACCCCATTATCGAGAAAGATTTAATAGAGAAGATACCATTCTTATGCAGGTGCCGAACAAACACGCCAGGTTCTTGTTGCAGATTTACATTAGCCAGTCTCGCAACAAGGTTATTCCACTCTATAAGTTTATTGCTCACTCATTTCCTCCTAAAATAAACATTAAGTGCTGTTGTGCTTAGTACCTCCACAACATTTGCATGTTTACTGCATGCTATATTAAATAAATGGGAGTTGTGGGGAGAAGCGTGGCTAGAAAAAGCTGAAAAAAGCATATTGTTTGGCTTCTAGCTTTAGATTATTTTGACCATAAGTGACCTATAAGTTGTACTCCTTTAAACATGATTAACCCACCAACTAAGAAAAGACCCATATAATTTCCCCTAATGAATGGATTTCTTCAATGTTCTTAGGATTGAACACTGCATCATCCTTTGGCTTAGACATAAGAGCAGGTGACGATTTCTTTGATTTCTTCTTAAGCAGAGTCTCTGAAAACAAAAGGTGTGTTGAGACAGTTAATATTCCACACTAAAAGAGCTAGAGCACTCGAATCACAGAATAGATCAACTCACTACAAAATTGCAGAGACCATCGAGGTTAGTTTTAGAAACCGTCCAGGCTTGTTTCGGTAGGTTGGCCATGAAAACATACAAACACCTTTCGAGAAGAAACCTATCGGAGAGGTCCACCTAGGGTTGTTCTAGGATAATAGGATTGATATGCCACCTAAAACACCAGCAAACTCTATGGAGAAGCTTACATATTAGTAGATAATAGGGTTGGTAAAGTTAGGGTTTAAGAGAGGTAAGAAGTAGATATATATTGTTTTTTGTTCAATTGAATCCCCTCAATCAGTTGTCAACCTTTATATTTGTAGTGTGATTGGTCTTTTCCAATGTTGGTGTGAAATGTGAAGTCAAAACCGGATGCAACTCATGTCAATCATGGTTTTGGGCTGCATGTGGACGAAGATTATAGGTCTTCAATTCAGACTCCCTCACTTGTGCAAGGATATATTTAACGGGTATGCTAGCGTCCGGACATCCGGGCGGACCCACGCGTCCAGACACTCGCGCATGCTGCTACACTTGATGCACCATGCGCCTCCTCTTGCTTTTTTTTTTTTGGAACACACGCCTCCTCCTGTTGCTGCTTGGCCCCATGCCTCCTCCTGCCCGCCCAGCTGCATGAGAGAGAGGGAACGTAGCGCGCGTAGCCCAATGTAAGAGAGAGAGAGAGAGAGAGCACAGCCCGCGTGTGCCCCAATGCGAGAGAGACCTAGCTGCATGCGAGAGAGAGACGGATCACAGCACGTGTACCCAATGCGAGAGAGAAAGCATAGCGCGCGTGCCCCAATGCTAGAGAGGGAGGGAGCACATCGCGCATGCACATGTGTTGAACCGGCTGCATGCTACACCGTGGGGACCACACATGGTGGTGCAGGGGCGCCACGGAGTTGCCTGGCAGGGTTGGAGGCGGTCGCGCGCCGCGCCTGGCTAGGCCAACGACTGAGCGCTAGAGGCGGCAGGCGAGCGGATAGGAGTAAGTCAACGGATAGAAACGAGTATGTGGACGAGCGGATTTTTTTATTTAAAAACGGAGGAACGAGGGATCTTGGGCTGGCGTCGCGTGGCCCACCAACGAAACGTCTAGGTGGCGGACGGACGCCCGCTTCCCAATATTATCGTATATGTAAGCATTGATTGGCAAACCTTTCAACTTGGATTCCATCCTCCTATTGTGTTGCCGATTAATCCGACTGCCTTATTCCATCGTCAATTGGTCCATCCGTCTTATTGCATTTGATTGAACTGACCATCTTATTACATTATTGATTGGTCCGACCGCATTATTGCTTTGCCAAATAATTCGATTATATATCTAGCCTCTTGCCGATTGGCTCGGCACACCACTAATTATTGCTGCCTGATCCGAATGAAAATCACCAACTATTGACCACTGGTTCATCTGTTTAGCCCATATATACGTTCGGCCATCCAAGCCGAGTGAACAAATGAATGTGGCCACAACTAATAAGTCGATTTCCAATGAAAAGTACTTGTCGAACCAAATCAAGCGAACCTCCGGTTTCTTTGTTGGGAATATGTCTATTCGGATTCAAGATTCTCGACTCGACACGGGTGCTCGCATTTATCTGACACGCTAAAATGTCAACAAAAATGCATTGTGTACAAAGATCCTTGTATGGGCGAAGGGAGTGGCCATGCAAGCTGAAGGCTAATTTGTGAGAGAGATATATGAATGTGTTCGGTTATGTTGGTTAGCCTAGCCTGACTTAAATTTGAAGCCAGACGAGCTGAAGTCTGGCTTCAACAATGCAAGCAGCTATTGTTTGGTTCCATTGGCTAACTAAGCCTGTCTTGGAAATATCTTGTTTGATTGCCTTGTTTGTGGATTGGCTTGCATAGGAATACCTATTCTTCTCCCCGGCCGTCTACAGATCGCCACACCGTCCCTCTCCAGCGACCGCGCACCCACCACTACGGTTGTTGCCAGAACACCCACGCCCCTCCCCTGCTGTCGGGCCATGTCCGCTCACGGCCCGCGCGCCTCCGTTGTAGCCGAATCGCCGCTGGGTGTGGCCGCGCCGGCGGGGGGCGCCCGCGCTGCAGACACACTCGGGGGCTGCCCGCGCCGGGGGCTTCCCGCGGCGGTGCGACGGCGGAGCTAAGGCCGGGTCCGGATGCACGACAACCGCGCCGGTGCGCCGCCTGCACCTCGTGCCCGCCTGTACCTCGCGCCGGAGCGGGAGCCGAGGTCAGGGTCGGGTCCGCTTGCGCTGCACCCGTGCCTCTGCCTCCGCCCGCCTGCACTTCGTGTGGCCCCATGCTAATATAAGCTAGGCTTGCTGGAAACGGAGCACCCGAGTGTTTCCAGAATGCAGGCTTAGACCCTCTTTTTTGGCTTCCACAAGCCTGTGGCATAGGTGCTAGCCAGCCATCCAAACACGCAGAGCCTGCATTTGCTAAAGCCTGGATAGGCCCTAATCCACACAGTCAAACACCCTCTATAGGACCCTCCAAATCCAAAAGAGCCTTCCCATACCCACTTTGCTGATTGCAGCATCATTTTCAGTGCCGGAGATAGGAAATTGATCGACCCGATGATGTTTTGGATTTCATGTCACGGAGGCATATATACAAAACAATGTTTCTGCCTCGGCGTCGTGCCCGTAGGATTGGGATAACTTGACAAATGCCCTGTTCGTTTGACTGAGCACTGTTGGCTGATTTGTTGTGAGAGAAAAATATTATTTGTTGACTGAAAAGCGAATAGAACGAAAGTTCACGACACGCAGGGTAGCCTGCCAAGACTATATAGGCAAACTATAGCTAAACTTAAAACCGCACCCCGGCTACACCGGGCGACGCACGCGCTTTCTTTCATTTCAGCAGACCACGCCTTCTGGACATGGACAGGTCCTACTACGCGCTTGTGCTCCTCTGCCTGTGCCTCGGCACGCTCCGTGCCGCCTCCGCCGCGTCGGTCACCACCGGCACTCCCGACGGCTCGGAGCTGTGGGGGTACGTCGAAGTCCGGCCAAGTGAGTAACGCTACCTCCTCATCGATCGCTTGTCCATCACCGAGCATTCTCTTTCTAGCTAGTCCATGTCCTGACTCCTGAGGTATACATGCCATGTCGCCGTTGTTGCAGAGGCGCACCTGTTCTGGTGGTACTACAAGAGCCCACAGAGGACGTCGACGCCGGGGAAGCCATGGCCGACCATCCTCTGGCTGCAGGGTGGCCCGGTACGAACGCCGCTCCCTTGCTCGCGCCGGAAATCCCGCTCAATTCTGGACTGGACTAGCTCCTCTCTGCTCTGCTTCAGGAATCACGAATGAGCGTTGTCATCAACCGCTGTTTTCTTCCTTCCTCGCAGGGCGCGTCCGGCGTCGGGCTCGGCAACTTCCTGGAGGTGGGGCCGCTGGACGTCGACCTGAAGCCGCGCAATTCGACGTGGCTGCAGAAGGCCGACCTCATCTTTGTGGTCAGTCAGTCGTCGGAGACAGCGATAGCTCAGCACCTCAGCACCTCAGCTTGTCGTCTTTTTCCACGCCACGCCCACACCTTTGCTGTCGGTGATGTTTACATACATGTTCCGGTGGTCCGCAGGACAACCCAGTGGGCGTCGGGTACAGCTACGTGGAGGACGACAGCCTGCTGGTGACCACCGACTGGCAGCAGGCGGCGGACGCCACCACGCTGCTCAAGGCGCTGGTCAAGGAGATACCCACGCTGCAGAGCAGCCCGCTGTTCCTGGTCGCCGAGTCCTACGGCGGCAAGTACGCCGCCACGCTGGGCGTGTCAGTCGCCCGGGCCGTCCGCGCCGGCGAGCTCAAGATCACGCTCGCAGGTAACAATGGTGCCTGCTCACCCAAACAACCAGTCAGTCAATCGTGGCCCAATTCCGTGTATAATAAAATGCTCTGTTTGTTTCACAAATTAAAAAAAAGGTGTCGCCCTCGGAGACAGCTTCGTCTCGCCGGTGGATTTCACGGTGAGAGCCAAACAACCTTCTTTTTCTGAAATCTTCAGTGCACAACACTTGAATTTTTGAAATGAGATTCAGATGGAGTGCATTCCGGATGGTGCAGGTCTCGTACGTGCCGCTGCTCCTGAGCGTGTCGAGGCTGGATGACAACGCCGCCGCCGAAGCAAACAAGTAAGAACGCCAGCCGGCCGGCTAACCGGGTTAGAGTATTACACATTCCTCTTCCCCAATCAGAACCCATGGCATCACGCATCCGATGTCTCGTTCTCAGGAGGACGCAGACGGTGAAGAATCAGATCGCCGCGGGGCAGTTCGCGGCATCTCAGGGATCGTGGAACGACCTGCTGGCCTTCATAGACACCAAGAGTGGCAGCGTGGTAAGTGCTGACCGCCGTTGACTCTGAGCTAGCCCCTGCCAACTATATGGATAAAAAGAGTGGTCACCACAGCGGATTTCCTCCTCTCTTTTTTTCAGGACGTGTACAATTTCCTTCTTGACAGCGGCATGGACCCAGTGTCGGCAGACACGCCGGCGGCGGGCTCGTCGTCGCCCACGCCCAGCAACGTGCAGGCGTTGAGGTACTCGACGTACCTCGGCAGCCAGGACTCGGCTGGCTCCTCCAACACCATCGACGGCATCATGAACGGGGTCATCAAGGAGAAGCTCAAGATCGTCCCCAAGGACCTCAAGTGAGCGTCGCTTTCGCATCGTACCACGACGGTCACGTCAGTCACTGGAGTATGTATGTTTTAGTAGCTGTCAGTGTTTACCATGCTACGACTGCAATTGTATGCAGGTGGGTGGAGGTCTCCAATGCCGTCTACTATGCGCTGGTCAACGATTTCATGAAGCCAAGAATCGATGAGGCGAGCAAGCTATCTAGCACGGGCACGGCTCTATATGAATAACAAGTTGAAGGGAGAGTGGAGTTTGGTTAACTCTGTTTCTTTTATTTGTTCATTTTCGCAGATTGATGAGCTGCTATCCTATGGCGTGAATGTCACGGTGTACAACGGGCAGGTCAGTAGTGCTCTGCCATTTTTACTGTCTCCAGCAAATCGAAACTACCATTTTTTTGTGTGTGTGTCTGGTCATGCTTGATGTTGACTTTCTTAAGTTGGTGCTGTTACACTGCTATGCTGGCAGAATAGTGGACCAGCATGTCGAGATCAATGGATAGGTTGAAATGTTAGTGCCTTAGTGCTTGACTGATCATCCAGACACTGAAAAGGAAATGATACTGTTTGTGTTTCTTCCACGCAACTCGTAGTCGTCGTAGCACATGGAGCATTCAGGTTCACCAATTCATCCTGCAATTGATACATCCTGTGCAATTGATACAATTCGTCAGTGGGAGAGCAGGATAGCGTGACGCCGCCAAGTTCGTGTTCAGACTTCAGAAAAGATGGCATCGTTTATGGATGCACACCAAGGAAATGTGCACCTTTGATTGTCAATTGTCGTAGGAAGTTAGGAACGGACAACCACTCCCTGGCCCATGCCTTTTTCCCAGGAGCTGTGAGTGACACGAAACCTTTAGGCGCCACAAGGCATTTTCTCAACAACCACCACATCACATGGTGGCTCATGGCTCACATGGTCAACTAATTGGGAGACAGACGCTCCTCCCTTAACCAAACACATGGATAATCCGTTCATTATCATATAATATTCCCAGCTGACAATATGCTTAAGAGTAAATAAGTCTGCAGTTTTCAGTACTGATGAATGTGATACATCTTTTCCCCTACCTGAAGCTCGACGTAATCTGCTCTACCGATGGCGCAGAAGCATGGGTTCAGAAGCTCAAGTAAGCCTTCCTGTCTTTCTATCTCCTGCCCCCCACATTATAACAGGGTTCAGAAAACATATATATCTCAGTGGCTGAACTGATTTTTTTTTTGACAACAACTGAACTGAATGTTTACTGTCTCCTTGGGGATGAACTGATATGATACTGATTTCAGATGGGATGGGCTGAAGACCTTCCTGAGCCTGCCGAGGCAGTCTCTGTACTGCGGCACCAGCAAAGGAACCAAGGCTTTCGTCAGGTCCTACAAGAACCTGCACTTCTACTGGATTCTTGGAGCTGGTCACTTTGTAAGTCCTGCGACATCTCACATTCACCTAGGATCTGCTTCCCATCCCATGTGAGGGTCTTAAATCGGGATGCCCCCGAATGAAGCTGACCGACTTGTTTCCTCGTGTGATCTGTGATCTCTTTTCTTTGACTGCAGGTGCCGGCCGACCAGCCTTGTATCGCGCTGAGCATGATCGGCAGCATCACCCAGTCTCCGGCCAGTTAGCGGATTTTATGTGATACGCAAAGATCAAATAAAGAGGCACGTCAACTGGAAGCAGCTAGCACACGGACACGGGCAATGCAGCACTCTTGAGTACAGTGAAGGTCGCATGCTTGGAAGGCAATTCAGTTGACGATACCTGTGATTTGCTTACAATTTTCTATACTGCGAAAAATAGAGCGCTGGTGCAATAGGAAAAGTGGAAAAGTTTATTTTTTAATGATTTTTGTGATGCGTCGGTTGATTTATGTTGCGTTTGGGAGGAAAAAAAAACAGCTAAATTTACCCTATCACTTTCAGAGGTTGTAAAGTTGCGAAAATTACATATTTACCATAAACATCCGACCATCGACTCAGCAGATTTTTGTCACTATTTGATAAAAAAAATCACTAAACGCATTAGGAACTATGAGGCCCATGGAGTGGGAAAGCTACTAATGGGCTAAATCTAATTGTTTCTTATAGGCCAAGCTCATTGGAGAAGTAGCAATTTAGACTGCCAGATTGCAGGCCCAATTTGTTTTTGGTTAAGCCCAGTTGCAAGCCCAAATATTTTATTGTTAAGCCCATTTGTAGGCTCAGATTGTTTTGGGTGGGTACCTTTTTATTTTCTTAGGATATTTTCACTGTAATTCACCTAAACTAAATATTACGTTCCAAGGACTTGCCATTCTCATACGTAATAAGATCCCCAAGCCCAATACCTCCCCTGGGGTGGTCAGGGTTCAAATCCCAATGGACTCACTCTTTGTTTGTTGCTTCAACCGCAGTGACTAGGGAAAAAAACCCACTCGTCTGCCCCACATCTAAAGCACGGGTCTGTAATCAGCTCATCTCACGGAGCTGCGATGCTGCTGTGTATAGGTGGGGTAGAAGTTCGGAGGTTTTCTCGATCTAGGTGAGAAGATCTTCTTCTTAAGTCAGAATAACAGGGGTTGTCTAGCCACCGCGGATTGAGTTTTTTTAATAAGATCCCTTAACACATAATAATTTCCCGGCATCTGAGAGCATCTGCCAATGTTTAAGAACCTGTTACGGTCCATGTGTTCGCGTATGCATTCATTAACTACACGTTGGCTCTACTGGCGTGGGAGCTCTAGAAGGAATGAAATGGGAGGCGCTTCCACGACACGTCAACAACAGTCCACAAAATACTAAAATCTCACTAGCGCATCCCGGTTCGTGGCACATCAGTGTTATTCTCACAAACTTTCGATATTAATAAAAAGATGTGTAAACCTTTTACGATTCGAGAAAAAAAACTTTTTACCTTAGTCTGTCCGCCCCTCAACTTCTTCTAGCATAAGTGTTCTAGATGGTGTTACTAAGAGTAGCAATAGGTGACAAATTATAAATAAGAAATATGATTGGTTTACTACCTCGTGTGTGATTCAAACTCACGACCAGTGCACATACGAGTTAGGATAATGCACGTCTAGCCACGATACAATGTCCGATTGAAAAATATGTTAAAGCAAATGACACATGCTATATGTTTCATTGCAACATATGGGCATCTCCACTAGTGACATACTCCCAGTGCATGGGCGGCCCCTAAACTTGTTGGGGTGTGTCAAAACAACTACTTAAGTCCATAATCTATGTTTTTGTGTCGTTTAGGCCCAATCTGCTGCTGACCCCATGGACACCGTCATCTCGTATTGCAATTAGCCCCTCCTGTACGTCAAACAAATCAGGCCCCTCCCCAAACTATTCTCCGTCCGTTCCTGTCTGTTCGTGCTCCTCGGCGGACGACGTCGAGGGCGTTGAGGGGGCTACGGCTGGAGGATCGGTGGCGAGTTGGGGCTGTCCGTGCTAGGAGCAGGAGACGTCGGAAGGAAGCAATCACACTGGAGCCATCTTCCATCGCAAGATCAAAGGATGGTGGCGACATTGCGGCCTAAAGGGACACCTCCCCCTGTGTACGGTGAGTTTGATCGGTGCCTCCTCTCATCGAATCGTTGGATTTGGTAGGCTAAGATGTTGCACGTGAGGTAGAAAGGCAAGACTTTGCCATGTCTGGTCGTCGATTTGGAACAAAAGTTTAGGGTTTCATCATTTTTATTCTTCACTGCAGGGCACCTTATTTGGTCTATTTCTTATTCAATCTGTAGGTGGTTGTAGAGACAAATTCACAATCTAGATTCATCATGGTGTGTTTTTTGTTGGTTTGGGACATCTTAAACCATGCATCGATGAAAGGGTGTCTTGGTTTGATCGTGTAGAGGTAGATACATTCTCTCCTTTGTGGTTTCTAGACTTTGCACTGCAGCTAGGCTACCAGAGCAATGAAGACTTGAAGGTACATTGGCTGCTACCAGGGAAGACATTAGCAGATGGTCTTCGTCTCATAGTTTTAGATACTGACACCAATGTAATGGCAACATGTGTAGAGGATGTCAAAAATCTAATAGTGTATTTTGTTCATGAGGATGTGTTCAGAGAAGTTGATTGGGATGATGTTGTTGCAAATCCAGTGACTGAATTGCCAAAGGTCATCAGCCCAAGCAAAGTGCAGAATGTGGAGAAGAATCCTAAAGAAAAGTTGCATGTTTTCTACACAAATTTGGATAACATAAGGGTGGATCAAGCTGTTGACAGTGAAGATGATGTGCTGTGGGATAGTGATAATGAGATAGAAGAGAGAGATGTAGATCTGTTTGATGACCTTGTAACTTCTCATGTACAAGTTAAAGACCACAAGAAAGCCAAAGGCAACAAACTGAATACATTAGAGATATCTAGACCTGTACAGGGAAGTGATGAAGAGGATATAGATGATGAAGGTTTGGACCTTCCAGAATCAGATGGGGAAGGTGATGTGAGACTGAGGTTTTCATCTTTCAGTGAGGAGGATATGCAAAATCCAGCCTTTCATATTGGCTTAGTGTTTGCAGATGTCTAGAAGCTTAGAGATGCCATCACTGAGTATAGTGTTAGGAATAGAGTTAAAATTAAGATGCCAAGGAATGAGAAGACAAGGTTAAAGGCTCATTGTGCTGAGGGCTGTCCATGGAACCTTTATGCTTCTTTGGACTGAAGGACCAACTCTTTTATGGTTAAGACTTACTATGGGTTACACAATTGCCAGAAGGAGTGGGTGCTCAAGAGATGTACTGCAAAATGGTTGGCTGCAAAGTACATTGAGTCATTTAGAGCAAATGACAAGATGAGCATCACTAGTTTTGGAAGGACAGTACAAAAGGACCGGAACCTTACACCATCAAGGAGCAAACTTGCTAGAGCTAGAAGATGGATCATGAAGGTTATTCATGGAGATGAGGTGTTACAATTTAATTCCTTGTGGGATTATGGAAATGAACTGAGGAAGAGTAACCCTGGGAGTTCTTTCTACCTTAACCTTCAGGGTAGCCTCTTTAGTAGTTGCTACATGTCACTTGATGCTTGCAAGAGGGGTTTTCTTGCTGGGTGTAGGCCCATAATTTGTCTTGATGGGTGTCATGTTAAAACCAAGTTTGGTGGTCAACTTCTTACAACAGCTGGTATGGACCCTAATGACTGCATTTACCCTATTGCCTTTGCTGTTGTTGAGGTCAAGTCATTTGCTACATGGAAATGGTTTTTGGAAACCTTGAAGGCAGATCTGCAAATTGACAACACATTCCCATGGACAATAATGATAGATAAATAAAAGGTATTGCTAACATATGAACACTCTTATTTTCTCATTAATTCTAATTTTGTTTGGGTTACTAACTGAAATATGTTAACTAATTTTGTAGGGTCTAATTCCAGCAGTGAAGCAAGTGTTTCCTGATTCAGAACACTGGTTCTGTGTCAGGTATTTATATGCTAACTTCAATGAGAAGTATAAAGGAGAAATCTTGAAAAATAGTTGTGGGCATGTGCAAGGTCTTCTTCAGTTCAACAGTGGACCAGAAATATAGAGAAGATGAAAGCTTTGAATGAGGATGCCTACAAATGGCTAGAGAAGATGCCTCCTAACACATGGGTAAGGGCTTACTTCTCTGAATTTCCTAAATGTGACATTTTGCTGAACAACAACTGTGAGGTCTTCAATAGCTATATTCTAGAAGCTAGAGAATTGCCAATACTTAGCATGCTGGAAAGGATAAAGTGCCAACTCATGACAAGGCACTACAACAAGCAACAAGAGTTAGGAAAAAATATACAAGGTGCTTTCTGTCCCAAGATTAGGAAAAAGGTTGCAAAAAATGTAGAGTTTGTAAATATGTGTTTTGCTTCACCATTAGGACAGGGTGTCTTCCAAGTGCAGATAAAGGATTACCAGCACATACAATGCAAGGACATGTGATTACAAAAGCTGGTAGTTGATAGGTGTCCCTTGTTGATGTAACACCCTCGGTGTTACACAGTAAATCATCTACTAAAACATGTCATGAACATCATATTTATGTGTTAATGCATGTGATAAAGTCTGTAGATCAATTCCTGTAACTCAAAACGATCAACTAAAATGCGAAACGAAAGTTGATTCAATAGTTCATGCATATCAAGTAGGGTTTAAAACTAATTTTTACTAAGCAAAAATGCTATAGAACATGTATGTGATACTTAAATAAAGTTTGAAGTACAAACTTTGTAGATGACAGTGAAATACTAGCGGTCGAAAAATGATATTACTAGCTAATATTTCCACTAGCTTAGAAATCACAAATTGAAAACAAATCCTGCTAAAAAACTTAGAAATTTTCAAGTCTGCCAACAGCTAGACATCGCTATGTTTATCAATTTATTGTGAGAGATTGGGTTAAGGAGTGGTGTAGTATTATAGCTTGGTTTGGTAGTCTCATATGCCATCTTGAGTATGGTGAAGATGGTTTAGGTTCAAAAGCAACCGTTTAGTTTTTATGGACGCTTTAAAATTCGTGCGCGTACTTGTCTCGGGTTGGTTGGCGCCGTGTGCGCGGTCACCTCGCGGCCACCCCGTGCCGCGCCCATGACCGTGTTCCGTGCGGTCACCCCATGCCATCGCGCTTGGCCGGTCGGGCCGCCTACGGCTGGCTGCTGGCCCCACGCCCTACCGCCCAGCCTCGCGCTACCGCCATTGGTGTCGCCGCGGCCGCGCTGCACTGCCGTCGCGTCCGTCCACCATTGCCTCACGCCGCGACACTGTCGTCGCATTGTTGTCGCGTCCACGCCTATCTGCTTTAACACTGCGCCGCTGTCGGCCTAGTTCAAGGCAGTCGCTGCCGCACGCACGTGGCCGAGCCGCCGTCGTCATGTCATTTATGATGCTGCGGCCGCGCGGGCCACGCTGGTCGGGAGTGCACGCGCCTGTCTTCTAGTGCCTGTGTGTGGGCCTCCACTATCTCGCCGCTCGCGTCCTGCCAAGGCGAGGACGAGCCGAGTCCACTGCCGTGCCCTGTCTCTCTCTTTCTCTCTTTCTCCCTCTGCTTTCCACCGCCATCGTGTCGCGGTCACGGTGAGTCAGAGAGCGAGCACCTCTCATCAATTCCACTTGTCCATGCCTCCGCCGTCATGCCCCCTCTCTAGCCGCCCCCACCCTGGTTTGAATTCGGCTCAGCCGAGCTCTAATTTTGGAGCTTTGCTCCCGCTGTCACACCATTAACGCACAGCCCGCCTCGCCGTGGCTATCTCCAACCTCACCATCTCGCATTGAATTGACCGCACCACTAGCCTCGCATAGATCCCCTCTTCATCGTGCGCACCCAAGTCATAGCCCTATAGCCCCCTCCACGCCGCCGGCACAGCCGTGTCGCTACAGTTCGCCGTCGAGCTTGCCGCACGCACGCGGCTAGACTTGCTCGGGGCGTCTCTGGCCAGGACACCGCCATGGGTAGGATCGTGGTGCATCACTGATACTTATCTTCTATTATCTATTGTATGCTGTGGCTCACCGGAACGTGGTTGCCGCCGCTGCAGGTCGCCCGCACCAGGGAGAGCCCGCTCTGCTTCACCCCGTTCATACAACCACCGACCATCGTCGCGCGTCGGCCCATAGGTGAGCATCGGTCCCCTAGCTAGGTCTGCAAGGGTCTTGGGTGGCCGGCGTACCGCCTAGTGCCACCACCCACCGCGCCGACGAGCGCGGGGCGTCTCGGGGACCTCTCCGGTGCGAAGGTGAAAAGATACGAGGACTCCGTTGCAAAGTCGCTTTCTATAGAAATAGTACGTGTAGTGTTTACGCTATTGTTTGATAACACAATGACGTTTTTGTAAGAGTGCCAGCGAACACGCGGGCTCCGTGCCGTGGGCCGCCTCCATGAGAGGGGCCGCACCCCGCGTGGGCTGAAATCGGATTATCTTTTTCGTGGAAAATAGAAATAGCTTCGCATTTTAATTCTGAGCTGAACTTTGGTAATTAATGTAAAATAATGTAGATATCCAAAAATTGTAAAACAAATTTTGTTAGGTTTCTAAAATTATGCTCTATCTGTTAATGTATTTAGTTCATATATGTGCTGGTTGATACCAGGAGCTATTAAATCATTTGAGAGTGCTTAATATTATTAAGTTAATTATTGTAGGATTTTTTGTGGTAGATTGATGATAGCAAAAACTCTAAAATTTTTATAGTAGTTTCATTGTATTATTATGTGCTCACTGTAATTTTTGTAGCCCTAAAATAGACTATTTAGTATGGTAGCTAAATATCCATTAAGGCTAAATGAATACTGGCATGATATTGGTTTATAAAAATTAAGCACTTGTAGGGTGAGCATGGAATCTATTTGGTAGAGATAATGGTTAGCTTAGTATCTTAATCATTAGAGCTAGCTTAGTAGCTTAGCATGTGTATTCTTATTTTAAGAGTTGTTGTTGTCAAAATATTAAGTGTTGCACCATCGTTGCATGCATGTAGAGAACGAGTTAGTGAAGTTCGTGACCGTCGGAGAGCAGGAGTACGAGAAGGTGATAGAGGAGTACGAGGAGGAGGTCCTTGTGCAGGAGGAGGTCCCGGAGTCGTCACTGACTGACTTAGCTGATAATCCGCCTGCCCAAGACAAGGCCCGGTGCATAACCCTTATTTTAAATAATCACTGGATATATATATGTGATGTGTATTTACGTTACAGGATTTATATTGAAAACTACATACATAGAGAAACCTACCTATGAGTCCTACTAGCATAGGTCGAGTAGCTGCTATGCTTGGGATACCGGTAGCGTGAGTAACCTGCCGTTACTCATAATAGGTGATTATTGTTATTACTCTCATGATAAAATGGTGAAAGGAAATAGAGGTCGGACAGAGATATGGTACGGATATTGGTGGGTGTAATAGGTTCTGTCCCACGGTCAACGGAACATAGCTTGATTACACTATTTTCTCTGTCCGTGTCGGTTAAGGACCGTCGTTGCTATAGATTCTAGTCAGGTCACAAACTTATTATCCTGAGCACATACTTGCTTATGGGAGCGGAAAGGCTCGTTGCTCTCTTGTCATGGGTTCCTGCTCTTTTTAGACCGACTGATTGGAGACGGGATGGTGGAGGTCTAAGCACCGCACTGAGTCTAGGATTCAGGAGTGGGGGCTTGGAGTCCAAGTTTGGACGGGGACATGGACCCCTTGATAGGAGAGTGGTCGGTTGGTCTTGCTTGTGCCTGGGGTACAAGCGGGGCGTATGTTTTGGGGTACCCAACTGGGATACATTGGTTTACAAATCGCCATGTGATATGGTACGACTTGTCTATGATCTAGCACCGTAGTAAGAACTAGAAGATGAAATGGGATAAATGGATCTGATTGCTCAACTCTTGCTTGAAAGTAGAATAGGTGCTTACATAGAATGGTTAGCTAATGAACTAATCATGACTGCTAATAAAATACATACTTAAGGATTCACTACTAGTAATGCTTTTTGCAAAAAGAAAATCCAGCAAACCATAAAGCTTATCATATCCTTTGGAGTTGGGAAATTATTCCTACTAGTCAGGTAAGTCTTGCGAGTACATTGTGTACTCAGGGTTTATTTTCCCCTGTTGCAGGTGCAGCTTGAGGAGTGGCTATTATGTGGAGGATTCTTCTGGTGGGCACAGATGGATCCTTATATCTTATCGTTAGATGTTTATTTCAATTCCGCTGTTTAAATTCCACACTCTGAACTTGGTATTATAATAATGTATTTTCGAGAACTCTTGTTATATGAAATGGACTAAGTATTGTAAACTTGTTCTCATTATTGGATCCTGGATGAAAAGCGTGGACTGTTCGAGTTCTCCCTTAGGGTGTGCTCGACGAAACCGTCTGATGTAGCTTACTTTCGGGGTGCTTAGCATCTAGTAGAAGACAAGCGCCCCCGGAAGCGTGCTATTTCGGATGGTTCTGCCATAGTTGCCATGCTATCTCATGCTTGAGAAGTGAGAGGATCCAGCCTGAAAGTGTACTTGCTAACTGTTATTATGTGGAAGCTTTCAAAAATGCATATGGATTCAACATATGGTCTTACAAAGACAAATCTGAGTGGGAAAAGGTAAATGGACCTGAGGTAAAACCACCAGTGTATGAGAAGAAAGTGGGTCGGCCACCAAAGTCTAGGAGGAAACAACCACAAGAAGTTCAAGGAAAGAATGGACCAAGGCTGTCTAGGCATGGTGTGGTCATTCATTGCAAGTATTGTTCAGATGCTAATCACAATTCTAGTGGCTGTAAGCTAAAGAAGATGGGTTTCAGTTCAGAGGAAGCAAATAAATTAGTGGCCACAACACATGCTACATTAGCACAGGAAGCTAAACAACAAGCTGCACAGGCAACCAGAGACCAGCAGCCAGCATCAGAAGAGCAGCCACAAGATGATCTCCCTATCAACCAAGAGCTGAGACAAGAAGGACAGGCTGAAACCATGACACAAGCCGACAGACACTAGTCAGTCAGATGCTGGGGGGGTAATTTATAGAAACTGAATGCATATTAACAATGTTTATGTTAGATTATGTGTTAACTAGTAATTTCATGTAGGACTCTCAATCCACATCACTGTCTCAGCCTCAAGGTTCACTGCCAGATTGTGTCTTCATAAGCTCTAATCAGCCTGTGCCAAGACCTACACCACTGACAACATGCACAAAGGTAGGCAAGGCCGCTGCAGCAAGGAAGAGGAAGGCAGCAGGACCAAGCACCAGTGAAGGCAAAAGAGCACCTACAAAGAAGAGCAAGGAAGGAAAGGGAGCAATAGCTAATCTGTCTTGATGGACAGGAAGCAGTGGCAGCAACTCTTTAGAAATTTTAGGAAGCAATAGCTAAGAACTTTTAGCTAACAAGCTATTTAGATCTTTTGCTTTCTTATGTAATGCCTGTTACACTTGCAAACATCTAAACAATTTTTGGATGATGCAATGATGTTACACCTTTTGTGACTGCTATGAAATGCAATATCTGTCAATTACATGCATTTCGGCACTTAAATGTCAATTACATACTTTTAGCACTGAAATGCAATATCTGTCAATTACAATTGCTGCTGAAATGCAATATCCGTCAACTATAATTACTGCTGAAATGCAATATATCCATCAATTACAATTGCGGCTGAAATTTTAACAAGAACACACTACAATTGATGCTGAAATTACAATTGCTGCTGAAATGCAATATCCTTTTTACATCCTACAGAAAACAAATACATCCAACTACAGTAGTGGCATTTTCAGAGATGTGTCCAGCTCCTAATATTGCACTCTGAACCTCCTTTGCCTCCAGCTGCTTGTAACGAGAGCTGAGTATATGCACTGGAATCATGTTCCTTGATTACTGAATAAGCTGCTATGGTGAACTGTCAGTACAAGCTTGGTGCCTCCTTTCTAGAGCGACACTACAGTCTGTAGGGACTGCAGCCTATCTTGGCAGGAACCCGTGCTATGAGACCGGAACCTCGAACGCCATCATCTTATCGCCTCGAGCAAAGCCGTTGCGATCGTAGGAGACCTCGGAGATGCCCAGCGGCGTGGTGCCCGGGGAGGGGCTGACGGCAGCGGCATGGTGGCCGGGAGGGGCGACGGCAGCGCCGTTGTGGCCGTGGAGGGGGCGATTGCAGCGCCGTGGTGGGCGGGTGGGGGCCATGGCAGCGGCGTGCTGGCGGCGAGGGGGCGACGGCGGCGGCGGTAGCTTGGTGGGCCGGGAGGGGCGACGGCAGTGCCGTGGTGGTCAGGGAGGGGGCGACTGCAGCGCCGTGGTGGGCAGGGAGAGGGCCATGTCAGTGGTGTGCTGGCCGGCGAGGGGGTGACGACAGCGGTGTGATAGCCGGCGAGGGAACGACCGCAACGGCGTCGTGGCCAGCGAGGGAGCGACGCAGCGGATTGAGCTCTCAATTGCATCGGATTGGGCGTGGTACCAATTTGAAACAAGGAAAATGGACAGATGGGGCTAATTGTAATACGAGATGACGGCGTCCACGGGGTTAGCAGTGGATTGGGCCTAAACGACACAAAAACATAGATTATGGACTTAAGTAGTCATTTTGAGAGTTCATGGACCGGCTTGACACACCCCAACAAGTTTAGGGGCTGGCCATGCGCTTTGCTCATATATAATTTATAGGAACAAAGTTTGTTTGTTAGAAAGTATTTCTAAATATAAATATACTTTTGTAGTATAAACTTTTCATATAATTAAGCTAATTATTAGTCAAAGATAATAAAGTTTAAATATTGAAATACGTGCATGCCTTGTATTTTGAAGATCAAAGGAGTGATAAAGAAGTTAAAAGAAGAGAATAATAACCTCCACCTGCATCTTGCCGCTTCCTCCGTTGTATTCTTGCATATCATGTAAGAGAGGTGACACATAAGAGGGCAAGAATACATCGGTTGTCGACGTGTGTAAGAACAAATTGGGATAAAAGAAACAACAAAACAATATTCCTCCAGTTTATATATAAATAACAGTACCCGGCCAAGGACGTGCATGGCACAACACAACCATCGTACCCTGCCATCCTCATTGTCTACTTCAGCGATACGTCACACAACTCACAACGCATCGAGTAAAAACGTACGCCAACAAAGCAACTGGCATTTCTGCCTTGGCATCTCCGTCTCATATAGGCGGCCTGAGGCGCCACCTATTTGAAGCACGGCCTGCCACAGAGCAACTCCCACTCACAAGATGGTCACCGACCACACAGCATCATACATCCTGCCGTGCCGCCATCATGGACAGGTCCTTCTCCCTGCCTGCTCTGCTTTCTCCCCTCGTCGGCATCGGCCTGAGCTCGCTCCGCTCCGGTTCCGCCGCGACGGCAACCACCGGCACCCCCGACGGCTCAGAGCTGTGGGGGTACGTCGAAGTCCGGCCGAGTAAGTAACGCTAGCTCCTCCTCATCGATCACTTGCCAATCATCGAGAATTCTCTTTCTAGCTAGTCCATGTTGCCGTTGCAGAGGCTCACCTGTTCTGGTGGTACTACAAGAGCCCGCAGAGGACGTCGACGCCGACGAAGCCATGGCCAACAATCCTCTGGCTGCAGGGTGGCCCCGTACGCACCACCACTCCATTCTAGAATTGTGATTTCGAAGAACATATATGCCCTGATGAGCATTGCGATTGCACCATGATCATATCGTCTTCTTGGCTACGCAGGGCGCGTCGGGCGTCGAGCTCGGTAACTTCCAGGAGATCGGGCCGCTGGATGTGAACCTGCAGCCACGGAACTCGACATGGCTCCAGAAGGCCGACCTCATCTTCGTGGTCAGAGTGTCAGACAGAGATCAGAGATAGATAGTTCCATACTACTACTACTATTGTTCTTCTTCATCTCCTTGCGGTCGCCATGTGTGTACTGATGAGTCAGCGTCGTTACTCTGTTACAGGACAACCCGGTGGGCGTCGGGTACAGCTACGTGGAGAACAGCAGCCTGCTGGTGACGACCGAACGGCAGCAGGCGGCGGACATGACGACGGTGCTCAAGGCGCTGGTCAAGGAGGTGCCTACGCTGCAGAGCAGCCAGCTGTTCCTGGTCGCCGAGTCCTACGGCGGCAAGTACGCCGCCACGCTTGGCGTGTCCGTCGCCAGGGCCGTCCGCGCCGGCGAGCTCAATATCACGCTCGGGGGTAAAACCCACAGCTAGCACTGAAGCAATGAATAAATTGATGCAGCAGCGTGCTCTGAGATTCTCTCTCCTGATGAGATTCTCGTTTCTTTCTCCGACAGGTGTGGCGCTCGGCGATAGCTTTATCTCGCCGGAGGATTTCACGGTGAGCACATGACATGAGCCATGACCTTTGAGTGCCCAAAACCGTATATATACTACTACTACGATTGAATAGTTAAATGCGTTTCGAATGGTGCAGCTCTCGTACACGCCGCTGCTCCTGAGCGTGTCGAGGCTTGACGACAACGCCGCCGACGAAGCAAACAAGTAAGCACGACGGCGGCAAGCGAAGTACCCAAGGATTCTTTTTCCAGTCACAATCATAAGCGCACGCCAACTCTAAATGTAATCTCAGGATGGCGGAGACGGTGAAGGAGCAGATCGCGGTGGGCAATTTCAGCGACGCGGCGGATTCGTGGAATGGCCTAGTGGGGTATTTCATCCCCTCCAGGAGCGGCTTCGTTGTAAGTGCTGATCATTGACGCTGCCCATTCAGTTACGTTCTGTCCAAAAAAGATGTTGATCATGCGCTGCAGCGATCGAACCGAGAGAGATGAGAGAAAAATCGGATCTTGTTTGAAGTCTGAAGTCTGAACAATGGAAAATAAAAAATTGAACCGGAGTCTCTCCTGCGCATATGACCAATGTGCAAGCCAAAAACACTTCTTTTAATTGAACTGTGGATCCATGCTCACGTTAGAGGAAACGAACCATGCTGTGCATCGATTTGTAGCAGGCCTGGTGTCCGCACGGTTCGCAGCTGACAAGTTGTATGCCATAGTAGTACATATAATAACTATTCAAAAAAACTATAAATATTTTATAATTTTCTCTATGTTTTTCAGGACATGTACAATTTTCTTCTGGATGATGGCATGGACCTCTTGGCGGCAGACACACCGGCGGGGTCGTCGCCCAACAACGTGCTGGCATTGAAGTACTCAACATACCTCGGCAGCCGGGACTCGAATGGCTCCAACACCATCGGTGGCATCATGAACGGAGTCATCAAGGAGAAGCTCAAGATCATCCCGAAGGACCTCAAGTGAGCATCGTTTTTGCACCGAGAGTACCACTTTCCTGCACTATGTTTCCCTATCAATGTCACGGCCCTGGTCGCTTCGCTGAAAAGCTAGGCTGAAAAGTACTGTTCGCTGATTTGTTATGAGAGGAAAATACTGTACCATGGCTTGATAAGTCCAGCCTGATAAGTCCAAGCAAACAGTACTAAGCCATTCTGGAATTCCAATTGCAGGTGGCATGAGCTTAATCGTGCTGTTTATAGCGCGCTGGGCAATGACATGATGAAACCAAGAATCGATGAGGTGAGCGAGTTAGTTAGTACGGCTCAACGTGGATGAACACATTTCTAATTTCGAAAGGTTTCAGGAACGAGCAGGTCAGTCAATTGACTTCGAGTTCTTTCTTTTACAGGTTGATGAGCTATTGTCTTACGGTGTCAATGTGACGGTGTACAATGGCCAGGTCAGTACTATTCTGCCATTTCAACTACCAAATTCCTGAGTTCACTCTGCTGGCAGAAACTTTACATCATGAAAGCAAAGGACTTACCATGTTCAAATTAATAAATTTATTGTGTGGGATAAAATGTTACTCCCTCTGATCCTACATAAATACTAGTCATTTTTTGGACTGTGTCCACGAATAAAGTTAGATGTATAAGTAGAGTGACTCTAGTTGGTGCAAATTAAATAAAAGAAATGTTGCTCGACCATATTCTCTCTCTATATGGGGATATTTGGATTGCTTGCCTTTTCCCGGTAGCTTAGGCCAATCACGTTGGTACAACCATGTGGAATATCTGTTAGTCCCTGAGATCTTCATTACAAAAGTAGGTATCCTTTCTAGACAAACGTGAACCTTGATTGTCAAGTTTAATCAAATATGGTACATATGGATAACCTGCCACGGTAAGGCATCTGGGTTATCCATTCTTATATTATTCAGTCAAAATGCGTATGATTTAGGCTGCAATTTTTAGTGCTGCTATTGATATCTATACCACGACATATTTTTTCCTTAATCTAAAGCTTGACATAATTTGCTCAACCATTGGCGCAGAAACATGGGTTCAGAGGCTCAAGTAAGTTATCGTCTTTTCCTGTATGAGTATATAGGTAACAAAAAGTGTTTAGAAGAATGGTTGAATGCTCATTTGGAGATACAATAATCTCAGATGGGATGGGTTGAAGACTTTTCTTTGTTTACCGAGGAAATCTCTGTACTGTGAGCCCAGCAAAGGAACCAAGGCTTTTGTCAGGTCCTACAAGAACTTGCACTTCTACTGGATTCTTGGAGCTGGGCACTTTGTAAGTCCATAGCATGTGAGATTCTTAAACCTGGATGCCTATTAGAAGATTTTTATTCATCTGTTCGTTGTTTGCAGGTGCCTGTTGAGCAGCCTTGTATTGCACTTAGCATGATCGACAACATGACTCAGTAGCCAGCCTGCCAAAGATGTTACCAACACGACCATTCTCTTCACAGTCATGTAGGGTGAGTACAAAACAGCCCATGGACAACAAGAGGAAAATCAAGATTGAAAAGGCAAAAGAAATGGCTCAACTCTTGCTAAATGATTTTACAAATTTCATCGGTGCTCTCGTCCTCTCCGAACATGAAAAGTTTTCTTCGTCTTGACCTTTGAGCTTTTTTTTTAAAGAACTTGAGCCTTTTTTCCATCGTGATACAAGTTTTCCACGCCATTACTTCTGTGTCGTGGTTTAATCTGCATAATATATTTGATAATAACAAGTCTATTGCCACACATTTACGGTGTTTAATTTAATTTAAGGATTGAGATAGTTTATCATCTTTTTACTTCTCAAATTTTTATTTGGTTTCATTATTTTATTTGTAAAAGCTAGTACAGAAAATAGAGTTATTCTACCAAATTTATAAGATATACTTAGGATGCATCAACTCATCTATAATAGAGTAATTTCACAAGCCAAACACTATTACAAATTTAAAGCCAAACCTTATTTACCCCACGAGATGATTATCTCCCTCCCAGTTAACTCTCGGGATCTCGGAGTTTTTAACGACAGACCTAGCTGACCTGGATGGTGACCTGTCACTGTATACAGAGGAAACTCGTAAAATGCGCTCCCCAAGAAAATAGTGAGTAATAAAGAATTCGAATAATCTCCCGGCTCCTGCACAAGCAGTCAGGCACTCCTCGTAAAGGGCAGCGGGATCTCTCCCCCTTCCTCACACCCACCATTTCCTCCCCCAAACCACCATGGACTTCTCCGCCGGCGGGAGCGGGAGCGGCGGCGGCGGCGGCGGCGGAGGCGGAGGCCCCGGCGACGTCCGGGCGCAGGCGGAGCGCTGGCTGGAGACCGCCGAGAAGCTCCTCGCGGCGCGCGACCTCGTCGGCTGCAAGCGCTTCGCAGAGCGGGCGGTGGAGGCGGACCCGCTCCTCCCCGGCGCCGACGAGCTCCTCGCCGTCGCCGACGTCCTCCTCGCCTCCCAGTCCATGGGCCCCTCGGGCCACCTGGACCCGCTCGCCATCCTCCAGCTGCCGCCCGGGGCCAGCCCCGACCACGCCGCCGTCTCCCGCGCCTTCCGCCGCCTCGCGCTCCTCCTCGGGCAACGCAACCCGCACCCGGGCGCCGAGATGGCGCTCCGCCTCGTCAACGACGCCTACGCCGTCCTCTCCGATCCGTCCCGCCGGGCCCCGCCATCCGCCAATCCCGCCACTGGTACCCCTTCCTTTTCCCAGTATGTCGCCGCGGGCGCGGCCGCGGCCGCTCCCGCCCCCGACCCGCCGGAGTTCTGGACGGCGTGCCCCTTCTGCTGCTACGTGCACCAGTACCCGCGCGACCTGATCGGGCGCGCCCTCAGGTGCCCCAACGAGGGCTGCCGCCGCGGATTCGTGGCTTCTGAGATCCCGACCCCGCCCACCGTCGTGCCGGGCACTGAAATGTACCACTGCGCCTGGGGCTTCTTCCCCCTTGGATTTCCCAACGCGGCCGACCTGGGTGCAAACTGGAAGCCATTCTACAAGGTGTTCCCCTGGAACACGGCTCCCAGTGGCCAAGGTGGTGGTGGTGGTAGGAGCCACGGGAGCCGTGGTGGTAGGCAGCCACAGAAGGACAGTGCTCGTGGTGGCTCCTCTAGAGGTAGGATCAAGAAGACGACGGCCCGCAAGAAGGTCGGGGCAGGGCCCAGGAGACGTCTTGGTGGTGGTGTGGAGAGTGGCATTGATTCTGAGATGCTCGGGCAGGAAGGCTGGGCTGGGGATGAGGACGGCGGAGATGGAAGGGCTGAGGAGGTGAGGGGAATTAACATAAATGAGGCGGCACAGGCTACAGATGGCAATGCTAGGGTTAATGTTAGCGGTGCTGGCGGAGTTGAAGATATGGGCAACTTCCATATTGATGTTGATGCAACAGAGGATATATTGGGGAATTTGCACAACCTGCCCTTCTTGAGGGTGGACAATCTTGGGCGGATGATTTAACTGTTGTTATGGTTTGCTGGGGCTAGAAAAGTATTGTATGATTAGCCAGGCCAAAACAGATGTCTCAGGGACTGGCCCTTGCTGTTCAAGTGTTCATTTTATTGTAACTGTTCCATCCCCTGTCATGTCATGTTGTAGTTGTAGACTTGTAGTCTACCTTGTACCTGTAGTTACCTAGCGACTTAGCGTCGGACAGGGCAAATTTGTATCTCCATTAGATGGAGTTGCATGCCCTTTGCCTTAGCAAACAAACTTGCAGAGTTTTCTGGTGATGGAAATAATGCTTCACAGAGGTGTGGTTGGACACTTTTGGTTTCTTCCTGGCATGGTGACACAAAATGTTGCTGAGATCAAGTAAGTGAATTATGTTCTTCTTTCTGAGTTCGGAAAAACTTTCTTGGCTACAAAAGAACTAGTCTTAGTTATGATAACTTGTTGATTTGGTCATGATCATTACATTGTTCTGCTGTGTGAAGTTGATGCTTGATACCTCTGATTTTTTTCATAGCCTGCTTAGAGTTGCATATGTTAACTAATGAGATATATTCCATTTCCCATTGATTCTGTTAACAATATTCGTACCACTTTTGTCATGATATATTCATGTGATTATTGTGTAGAGGTCATATATGTCTACATGTGAAGTGAATGATCCATTATCAGATACACATGAGTTCTCAAATTGTTGCTTGATATGTCATAGTTTAGGTTTGCTCCTACAGAAGATAGGATTCAATGATGACATGTCACAAAAGATTAGTTGTGATTTGTCTATTAGTTGGATGAGATATTGTCTTGAATCAAAAGGGCCTCAAGAACAATACATCCTACTATCGTTTATGTTAGTACCATTTCAACAGTGTATTTACCCATTAGAAATGGGTTAATCCCACAGCAGACTCTATGCTAAATAGTAAATACAAGTGCGTATCTTTTCTTTTCTTTTCTTTTGCAAATTAAGTGCTTATCTTTTCTGTATCATTTAATCTTTGAAATACATGCAGAACTTGTTCTAGATAATCTTCGCGATAGCATGGAATAAACATCATTTTACTTGGGTGCTTAACATAGCAAGGGCTTGATGATTTAAAGTTACTCATGTTCTTTTTTGTTGAGTATTCATATTAATGCAGAAGGCCATAGTTCATTTTCTTGTCATTATTTTTAACTGAGAAAAAACAAAACAATGACTTCATTGGGGAGTTCGCATCCTGTTATCTAGTTTAACCCTGAACCTGTTCTTGAAAACTGTGTTTTGGAAAGTCGCTTGCCTTTGTTCTATAATATATCGTCTGTGTTTATGTGCTATGGTAAGCAAGAGTATTTCGAATTTAAAGCAGTTTTCTAAATGATGCAAAGGCAGATTGGTTTGAGACTGCACATCTACGGAATTCTTTTAGCGAACATCTTATCTTAGCCAAGCAGTAGTTAAGATTAACTGTTTTACTTATTGCCCCCAAGTAGAACTCTTTGAAACTCAACTTAGTATTCTGTGGTTTCTTTCAGGTAGATAACCGTTTTGTTTGGCTACCCACAGTGGGTTGTCCATACCATGCCCAGAAGGAAGCAAAGTGACTTGGCCAGTTGGCCCAGTTTAGTGGGGATATCAGCAGCCCTAGCCTGAAGGGCGAATTCCTTTTGCTATTTTTTTCCTTCTGTTTGTTAGGCCTTTTATCCCCATGTCTGGGAGAGAAACCTATGCAACACTCTGCTATAAGTTTGCCAAGAAATGCTAACTGTAGTTGTTATGTTTTCAGCAATTTCAGGCTCAGAAGATTTTAACTGACTTATGCTTATGTGTATTTAAATCGAATGAAACTTGAATGCCAAATCGTGGCAGATAGTGGTGACTATTTAGCTCGCTTACTCACATTCTGAATGGGACAAGGTAGCCATTGGATTTCGTTATAGTAGCTAACAATTAGTTGCTAGCTAATATCCTGTTTGAATCCCCAGTTAATATTTTACCTACTACCCCTGTTCTAATTATAATATGTTTTTTTCTAGATACACTTGTTTTACTATGTATTTAGATATAGTGTATATCTAGGTGTATAACGATGCAATACCTTTAATTTAGAATAGAGGGAGCAGCTAACAATTATTCTATCTATTTCAAATTATAAATTGTTCTGGCCTTTCTAGGTATAGTGTTTTTTCTAGATACAGGATAAAAACTATGTATTTAGGGGAAAAAACTATGTATCAAGAAATCCAACTTATATAATTTAAAATGGAAGGAGTAAACATTAGCTGGTTTTCTCAGGGTAACACAAAGCTAAAAGTAAAAAGATTCAAACTGAGCCTATGTGATTTACTGATATGGTTGGAAGCCTAAGTGGAAGTGTGGTTTCCTGAAATTGGCAGATGACTGGAAGTGGGAGCGCATTTTCTTTTACACGAACAATAGTACATGGTAGTCCAAAAGTCTCTGGGCTAATTCGATGTCTACAAGGTAACCAAATTTGCAGCGAATCGAACTTCAATGATATGCACAGAATTTACTGCAAAATCGAAATTCAATGCTATGCCCACAAATTACCCTGTTCGCTTATGCTAAAATTTGACTTATGATGATACTTATGCTAAAATGTTGTGAGAGAAAAACATTGTTCCATGTCTGAAAAATAGCTCAAGCGAACATGGTATGTCCACAGAAATGGGATGTAGTAATTCCTTCTTTGCTCTTCTTTTTCCCTTTTTTATCACTTACAAAGAACGTGGCATAAGTACATGGCTCTCTTTGATCCTCTGTATTGACGCTACTAGTCTAATAGGATTTTTTTTTGAACTGTCTAATATGAAAATTGAAAAGCATCATATAGACATGTATGCTCGCGATCTTTAGGTACATATGAATGCCAACTCAATCAGACCAAACAAATCGCCTCACCATCACCGCAGGAGTAACCACCCAAACATTTCTTGCAGCACCGTGGGCGGTCGGAACGATAATCCTTGTAATCACCGAATGCATCAAATGGCTGCTTACGCGATACAAAGGAAGCCCTCCTATCCAATGCTCTGTTCTTACAAAATGATCTGATCGCAGCTGCAAGCTACCGTTCTAAATTTGTCCAGGTACACCAGCACGAGCCTGCAGTGTCTCGGTACGTTTGCTTTTTTCAATTTGTTCCACCAGCCAGTCTATGCCAGATTTGATCCCCCTCCTGCAAGACCAGTGTCGCATCAAAACAATATAACAGACCTTTAAAAGATTATGCACCCAGTAATCAATGTGTCATGTTGAAGGCTTCTCAGTTGTGTAGTACTCCTCCATTCAAATATATAAACCGTAATTTGTTTTGGCAAAGTCAAACACACTTTGACCAATGGTATGCTTAATCTATAAATTTGTACAATTAGATTCATATTTCAAAGTGCTTTCCACGACATTAATTTTGTAGCTAACATGATATATTATGTTAGAAACAATTATCAAAGTTTGGTTTTGAAGAATGAGTCAAAACAAAATACGCCTTGTATTTTTGAACTGAGGGAGCAATTAGCAATAACAGTCAACCCTAAATACATGCACAGCGTATGCTTCAGCATGAGCATGAACAAGGCCCTCAAAGTAGTTATTATGAGACAGAAGTGTAAAATTTTTGCATGCTTGACTAAAACTGCCATTTCTTTAAAATCTCACGCGGAGTCAAATTTCCTCAGGAACCAGTTGGGTTTCTGTGCTCACCCATCATACGCAGATACAGCCTGAAATGTATATGGCCTCTCATCTAGTTCTTTATGCAGAAATTTAGCCAATTCTTCATCATCAATGGCCCCAGGTAAATCCTAGACAAAGAAATCCAGAAACACGTTGAAACATGAGAACAAGAGGCAAATAATAAGTAAACAATTTGATAAAAGAATGTGGATCCAGTTTTACAAAAACAAACACACCGTACATATAGTCATTGGTTGCCATGTGATTTTCTCAGGCATTTTTAATTGATTTAAAAAGTCGTCATTGTTATATGTTGTTTGATTCTGGAAACTCAACCATTCGTTGAGAATCCTCAATCGAGTGTACATGCATGTTTGTGGGAGTTTGCAACTGTACTGTGTATTTGGCAATTCTAGAGTAAGGGATACAAACATGTGTGCATGATTGCCAAAAAGATATCTCACAAAAAAATATTATTCAAACTCCAATGATCTCTCACATTTTTCAGGACATGCTTTTATTGAATAAATGGTGTATGTTGGGCAATGAAAAAAACTAGCGTCTGACTGTCCTTTTTTTTTTTCTTGTTTCATGAATATGAAAATGTTTTAAACTGCATGTCAAATTGTCAATGTGGTACATGTACATCTGTACATTAATGGGCCAAAGTTTTTTTTTTCTCAAACACGCATGAGACCTGTATGTCATTGTATTAAGGAAAACATCTGGTATTCAACCTCACAATGGCCTATAGGCTCTTTGCAATATAAGAATTTATTCGTATGCCTCACAGCATGTGCACATGACAAGAATGTTATTTTAACTACAATGCCAACTTTGTTTTAAGCACTGAATCTTTCAATCCTAGTTATGTCTTACATAAAGAAAAATTATTCTTCAAGATATTACAGGAAAGTGGAAATAACTCATCACCTGTTTGTTTGCAACTATCAGGAGTGGTGCTCCTCTCAGATGCTCATGGCGGATAACCTTCTCTGAAGTAAGAAATTTAGTCAGGTTCCCTTGGATGAGTTTTCATCTCGTTTACCAGAAGAGACAATGCATCTCAGCTATATCTTCTCAAAAGATCTAGCAATAGCAATAAACCGGTAGTTTATAATTAACAGAAATAAGAACTAGCTTACCCAGAGCAGATTTGGAATCTTCAAATGAAGATGCAGTGGCAGCATCAATAACGTACATTATGGCATGAGCCTCTTCATAGTATTTCTCCCAGATTGTTCGTAGGCCAACCTGCCAAGCAGGTAAGCGTGTCAAAAAACTGAACTTGTAGCATGGAAGCTTATAGTACTGGAATGCAGTGATATTGAAG